CGGTATGCTAATTAATTGACCACCCCCTTCAGAAGGAAGTGGTGGTCTTCAACAACATTCGCGTTTCAAACTCGAACATAACCGAAATGGCAAAGATTCTCAGCATGTACTGTACGTCGAACAAGAATTGGTATGTAACGTAAAACGTGTATGGAACATGAACCCTAAAAGAAATCAAAGGTAAACCTCTTTCTTTGGTGACATAAAATTTACCTACCTCTTAGATAAGAGGGCTAATCGTAAATGAAGCAACGATAGTCGATGAAAATTACATTACAAAAATTACAGCCTAAACCTAAAGAAGATGCTCGATAAGTAAATGAAGTGCAATATGACGATACCTACTTACGCCTAAAGGGTAAAACTCATAGGTCAACTTCGACTGGGATCACAGGCAAATCCCGTCCAAACTAATCACGTCGGAATTCCCAAATTATAAATTCAATCGCCAGAGATCCATATATTCGGAAGACGGCAATTAGAATTCCATGCGTTTTACTTTGCGCGTTCAGCTGTTTTTTCAATCGACGTGTATTTCGATACGGTTTACGAAGAAAATGGACAACCAAAAATCAAATATGATAGCCAAATCCATAAGCCCTTATTCAAGTAGGTACACACTAATGCCCGTTTGCACCGACAAATTTAAGTGGAGCCTTAGCTTAAAATCCATGGCAAGTATTGCCTCAATAATCATTGCTATGGATTTTAAGCTACGCTTAAGCTAAGCTCTACTTAAGTTTGTGGAAAAGGCCATTCATCGAGTAAACAAGGAGCACTGAACCCCACACACAAACGCTGGCAGCTTCTGTACTTTACTTTTCTCTTTAGCACACAAAATCTTGATGACAAACAACATTAACTCGATGAATGAAATGACGAATTGCCGGTGGCTCTTCAGACGGTACAAACTTTTAAGATCATAAGACAACCTTGACAAAGAGCCTCACGTTGCACTAAACTGACATTTTCAACTGACAGACTTTTGCCATAAAGCGGACAAACCAATTTTTGAACTTCTCACACAACTTTCGTTAACTTACTTCTGCACAAAAAAGTGTCAGTTATTTTTTTGCTAATTGTGTACTAACGACAAAACGCGGATGAGTCACTCTAACAAAGTCGGCATTGTTGCAGGGCTCTATAAGTCTGTACCCCCAAAAATCCAGTCTTCGTCTGGAAAATTAAGGGCGACCATTTTTTGGCACTGTGACGGCGGTTTGCTTACTGAGTACAAAAGGGATCACGATTAGTGATGAAGCTTAAGGAAGCACGATTGAACGCTTAAAGTAAAACTCTTGGCGAACAAACACTGCGCTGTTGGTATGTCATTTTCTTCAAACAACAACAAAAGCAGTAACTTCGTTTTTTTTAAGGATAAGTAAATGATTTTCCTTGTGGAAAACAGCTGGTGCAACGGTGGACTAAATGTATTTGGGTAGATGTGTAGCCTTATGGTCTTCTTATAAAGTTTAAATAATTATTGTTTTGTAACCAGTTGCACATGGGGCTTGAACCCTCGACTGGTATACTGGCTTTACACTGCAGTGATAAGGCCAATAATACTGTATGGTGCACTTGTATGGTGGCCTGCCATGCGCAGGGTAACCTACAGGAAGCAGCTAGGAAAGGTCCAGCGACTCGCCTGTCTGGGAGTCACTGGAGCCCTAAAAACCACGCCAACCTTGGCCATGGAGGCACTTCTGGGCCTAGAGCCTTTACACTTAGCTGTGGAGGCAGAGGCTCGGAAAGCTTCCATACGGCTAAACGATTGGGATGAATGGAAGGATCGAGGCAGCCTTGGGCACGGGCGGATCTGGGAGGAAACCCTCAGGACCGATCCCCTCCTCGCAAGGAGGGACGTGATCCGGGCTATCTTGCTAAGACCAAAGCGTTGTAAAGTCATTCTCCCGGATAGGGAGCAGTGGCTGAACTCGGATTGCTCGTTCCTCAAACCTGAGGGGCTCGTGTGGTTTACAGACGGGTCCCAAACAGAAAGGGGAACGGGCATGGGTATATATGGTGATCGACCGAGAGCCAGCGTCAGCGTCTCCCTTGGTCAGCATAGCACCGTGTTTCAGGCAGATATGTTAGCCATCATGACCTGTGCACAGGAAAACCTCCCTAGAGGTTACCGCAATAAGCATATATACATATGCAGCGATAGTCAGGCGGCGTTGAGGGCCCTGTCGGTAGACAGGTTCCGATCAGCTACGGCGCTTGATTGCAGGTGAACCCTAGATAGATTAGGTGAGTCTAATAGGGTAAGCTTGATTTGGGTGCCAGCGCACTGCGGAATAGGGGGCAACGAAAGGGCGGACGAGTTGGCTCGCGAAGGCAGTGGTGGGGTCTTCGTCGGGCCCGAGCCTACCCTAGGGATTGCTCCCTCCGTTGTTAGGGCCAGGATTAAAGATTGGTTGACCAGTCAATTCCAGGCTCAGTGGCAACAAGTAACCGGACTCCGGCAGTCCAAGGCCTTTCTAACAGGGCCCCTTGGCAAATCGGGGTCTTCTAAGCTTCTAAAACTGAATAGATGCCAGATTAGGGAGATCACCGGTGTCCTTACGGGACATTGGATGGTCAACTATCACCTGCATAACATTGGGCTCGCGGAGGAGTCCACGTGCAGGTTCTGTGGCGAGGCAGATGAAACTACCGAGCATATGGTCTGTCACTGTGACGCTTTGATCAGGGACAGATATCAACTCCTTGGAGACAGATACCTGGAACCGAGGAGGGTGAAGCAACTTAAGCTAAACAGGGTCCTATCCTTCATTGAGAGGAACGGGCTCTGAACTCAGTTGCGAAGAAAGGGGGTAGGCACAATGGGCCTCTGATGTGCCTAAGTGCTGCCCGGTCGGGCTCCCCTGAGAATAGAATAGAATAGAACCAGTTGCACAGAGTTTTAGCATTGAATAAACACTTTAAGTGTTAAGTGTTTATTCAATGGTTTTAGTTAGTTCATCAGTTGGCACACATGGCATGCCAATTTAATGCGTCAATTATTGGTATGTGGTGGTTTTTATGATTAAATTGATTAGTATTGTTTTAAATCGACAGTTGCTAGAGATGATCCTTAGTTTTAATTTGCGTTAATTTGATTTGCTGAAATTGCGTTAATTTTCTGTTACAGATTTGCAAATCGAAATGCAGTAAAGTTTAATAGTTAGGGTATATTGCTTAATTATTTTGTTCAATTTCCTTTTTATCACAAACTTAATTATCTATGCCTTTTGTGAACACACGTCACATTATGTATTTATACAGTAATGCATTCGATGAATCACTTTCAATTAGTAGCGGCATAAAAAGGTCAGTAAAGGCATCTACTTTTCGTGCTATAAGCAGACAGTAAGTGCTCACCATTAAAAGTAATTATTAAACCATTAATGTCAACGCTGTTTACGTTCATTATGTATAAAAACTATGTCACTTGAAGCTTTTGAATTTTTAATTAAAATCGAGTTGAAGTTTATGCAAATAGAGGTAGAGATAGGTGTACGTAATAGGTTTTAACCCTATCGACTGATTTAACAGATTAGATAAAATCCTCTTCTATTTTGCGAATGACCACGTGCAGAATTTAATTTGTCGATTTGAAATCCCACTGATAAAATAATTAATTTTGTTGCAAAAGAGGATTGAGCTTAGTTTGCATTATAATTCGTTGTGCATGCAGCCTGGTCATCTATTATATATTTTAAGCTCCGTAAATGCGAGGTTTACCCTCTTAATACTATTAATTTAATAACTCCATCAAAAGTGTGCACTATTGTGCATACTAGTTGTAGTGTTTAGCTCTGATAGAATACGGAATAATTATGATCAAATTTGAGTGACCGGCATTTTGTTTATTTATTTATTCATTTATTTATTTATTGTCCCTCTTGTTCTAGGCCCTCAATAGGCTTACTTGTTGGAAGAATGTTCGTAGCAATTTTTTTGGCGTAGGGCAGCTTAGCCATAGCAACCAGTTATGATATTACGGAGTAATCTTCTTCAATCCTAATCTTCGTAATAAGCTTTTAATATAGAATTTCAGACAAGCACACTCACACCAATGGTCCTATCATTTTATTTCATAAGGCACAAAAAACATGGACCACCGGTAAGGGGCGACAATATGTTTTACTTGTACTTGGCCCTATACGTGCGAATTTGTGCCCGGAGTATAAATTTATTTGTGAAGAATTGTGTTAAGATTCAGTAATTAGTTTGGTAATCAATCATTCTTGATTGGAGGTTTGTTAAACTGTAAACATTTTCAGTTGCCCAGTCAAGATACTCAGATTTGTGTGTAACGTAACTTATAATTTTGAATATTTGTGTGTTACGCTATCCCATTGTGGAGTTTATTTTTGATTTGATTTTGGTGTGAATAAACAAGTATTTATTTGGTACCTAAATTGATTTGCACTGTTATTACTACCCTCGCATCTTATCAATTTCCTACGGAGAGAGTTCAGTTAGAAATTGAGTGGCGCTCAACCATTGGTAAGTGCAACGAAGTTACGAAGATCATTTTACCCAGAACGAACAACCGCTGTGCAAGATTCTCAAGCTCTTATTTTGTGTTTAACCCTGAGCTAGTTGGTTGTTTATGCGGCATGTTTGAGGAAACGTAACGCCAATTCTACTTACCCTTTATAATGTTTTTTTTATTAATTGGGTTTAGTATTGTTATAATTTAAATTTTTAATGTGAAAAGCAAACATTATGATTGGACTTACACTTTATAAATATGCGCTACTTTACCATAAACATTTCTACAAGAAAAAAGGACTCCTCAGAAACAATTCTGAACCATTACTGATCCCAAATTAAGTAGTCAAGTTCTACTAGAGCCTAGAGCTAGAATGTGAACCTGTAACTAACAATACATTTAGGAATAAAGCAAAGTATTACATAATTAAATATTGATTAACAACACTTTTACATGCATATTTGAATTACAATAAACACGTAATTAAAAAAAGTACTTATGCCTTCTTCTTATTTTCCACATTTCTTAGCTGTGCGGTGGTATCTAATTTCTACGCCTTGAGTGAATTTCGAATTCGACATCAACACATGACACGTACTCTCCAGTTATAGTATCGTTTCCCTTGAATTGTAATTTCCAAAATGCGTTTGGTAACGGCAGAATGGTTAACAGCTTTTCATTAATGGGGGTGGGTGCGAATGTATAGTTTCCCTAAAAATATGTGACCTTTAGTAATCGTCACTAATTGCGTTGTTGAAATACAGAGTGTCCGACGAAATGGGTAGGTGATTGTATGAGAAACTAATGTGATTAGGTTTCTGTAAAATTGCAATGGTGTATTTAATGAGCACGTTTTAGCTAACGCACTGATATACCCAAACACCAATATTGCCAACCTTGGTTCATCATTAAACTGCTGCTCAATAGAGGGCGCTTTTAAGTATACCTAAATGTGTTACCTATAAAATGCATAAGGTTAACAATCTGTTGTTATGTATATCTGTGGCTAAGGTATTTTGAATTAAGCATAAGGAAATTTATTTTGTGCAGGAGTAAATTTTCCAAAAATTTTAGAAAACTCGAATCCAATTTCCCATTAATTTCCCACATAAACACACTGTGTACCCTAGGCATTCATCATAATATGTATAATAGACCGTAAATAGAAGTACAATGACGTTTAACAAATATAATCATAGTGTACATTAGGCAAAGTAAACAATTAGCAATTAGTTCTTCTTAATTTTTTTTATTTCCTTAATTTCCCTGGATAACCTAGCATAGTCAATACATTTTAGACGATGGATCAAAGTTAAGGCACCGGTAGTAAACATCTCAAGTTTTACGTACTTGAAATACAATCAACACTCCTTAAATATTTAAGACCTATTCTGCTGTATATTCATTTCTGCTGCTGCATTAAAATTTAATAGAAAGTTTTAAACTGAGGGAAGGAGAGTCCCTAATAAAATAATAAAATTATTTTTTAGGCGTGTTCAAGAGCGTAAAATCGTTTTAGCTATTTGTTATTCATTCAGCTTTCTGAGAGTTCTTCTCATAAATATAATTAATATACACATTTTATGCTTATCCTATTTGACATTTCTTTCTGCATGGATGTTTTGCAAACCATTAATTATATTTGCAGATATAGTTTGTAATACCCCCTAATGGATTTAATACCGAGATCTGGAACTTAGAGTCATTATAGTAGCAGTAAGTAATTAATGAACTTATTACAATTATACAACCGCAGTTTGTAATAAGATAATGGGTTCCTCCTTTAGTACATATATGATTACTGGCGTTCTTCGCATAAGTTTTTGCAGCAGTTATATTAGACTTGGATTTAACAACTCACCACGTTAATAGGGCAACGTGGAGGCATACTAAAATTGTCCATAAAAGGTGTCCAAATCTGATTTTTCTTCCCCATAAGTTCACATATGTCATTTGATGTGTAATCTTTTAAATAATATTCACAACTGTCCATGTGCTCATAGTCTTCGCATTTCCAGAAGGTAACCGACATCTGAAAGAAAATAATCTGTAGGTAATTGGCCGATCCACAACGCGCGTGTGTTTACATTTAATAAACAAGTGGTTCGTTAAATAGTATTGACCAATTATATTCACTAATTAAGACTCGTTCTTAAAATCGTACCTTTCTACGTCCATCCGGGCGATAACTCTTGACGTACCGAAAGTGAAGCCTAAATAGCACACGCAATCATCCAGCTTTAACGAACACCTGGTACATGGATGAAATCGGACGTGCACTTCGATACTAAAAACCGCATCGTCTAGATATCATTATTTATATTGCAGAAATTAATTGTGTTTTATTGCAACTGTTGATGATAAGTAAACAATTTATCAGTTTTTTAACCGTTCCCCTACAGATATTTCAATTATCTTTACAGCATCCGAAAGCTCTCTTATTATTATTATATTATTATATTGTAGGATTTCAGCCCCGTTACGAAATTATTGGCCGATTTTAGTTTAGTAAAAAAGGAGTACAATTCTACTTATGTATTTAGAAATTTCAATCCGGCCAATTAAGTGAGTATAGTTTACCATATTAATTAACTGTGTTGCAGCAATCTTTATCAAAATGAGTCGTGTTTGGTATCGTTAGAATCGCGCTTAAATAGCATGAATTTTAAGACTGGTCGCTGATTTTTATTGTTGAAAAATCTAGACGACGAGAGACAATGTGATTATTAAGATGATTTTAATTTTACAGCAACAAACTTACAGTTCATATATATATATATATATATATATATATATATATATATATATATATATCTATTATTGATATAAGTCGAGATCCGGATAATAGTAGGATAACCTGAGATCCCCCTTTAAAGTTAAAAATATGCGTGTATAATGGGTTGCCAATGACATGAAATATGTTCTTCTATCATTACCCCTATAGAGGGGAAAGAAATTCATACAATTAAAATTATCCATATAAAAAGCAGTTAGGATGAGATCAAAAAATAAATACACTTAAGTAGAGATCATATAGTGTATAAAATGACATTGGTGTATTAAGTAGAGATCATGCGGTGTTGTCAAATGTACTTGTTCTAAAAATAGATTTCGTTATCTTTTGCGAATACTTAACAAGTTGTTAGCCTTCATGTGGGATTCCTTCGCGTATTCTTTCTTCGATAAAGCGTTAATATTATTTGGCACCCGGGGCTTGAAAATATTATAACATTTAATTATATAATACCTAGTGTAATAGGTACTCTATTTTACATCGATGATAAATTAAAACGATTACCTATTTATTGAAGGAAAGAGTTCCCGTTGGAAATGATTTTTTTATTTTTCTAACAGCTGATAGTGGTTCATAAGTCTACATCTTTGAATTAAAGGACCCAATTCAAACTCACTTTCAAAGTACAATTGCCATTATAATTAATGTAATAAATTTTTGCCATTAACTGAAATGCTTCAAAATTGATTATGCATAAGTATTCATCCTACAATCATGTATAAACACCAAACCCAAAGAAATCATTATCAAATTGCTTTCTTATCTCTTTTCCAGTACCGTATGGCGCATGGTTGGTAAAAAGCAATCATAAGAACTCTAAAGTTATTTGCTTATGATTACATGTAAACCATTAGGTTGTTCAGTATTTCGTAAAGAAATCTGTGAAAAGTTCATTTTTGAAGAAAGATGCCTTGGTTAGTCAAACTGGTTCAAACCATGGAGGTGGCCATTTTGGTTCAAAAATATCTAATTCATCCTCCAATCATGTATAAACACCAAACCCAATCAAATTGCTTTCTTATCTCTCGTCCAGTACCGTATGGTGCATGGTTGGTAAAAAGCAATCACAAGGACTCTAAAGTTATTTGCTTATGATTACATGTAAACCATTAGGTTGTTCAGTATTTCGTAAAGAAATCTGTAAAAAGTTCATTTTTGAAGAAAGATGCCTTGGTTAGTCAAATGGTTCAAACCATGGAGGTGGCCATTTTGGTTCAAAAACATCTAATTCATCCTCCAATCATGTATAAACACCAAACCCAAAGAAATCATTATTAAATTGCTTTCTTATCTCTTTTCCAGTACCGTATGGTGCATGGTTGGTAAAAAGCAATCATAAGAACTCTAAAGTTATTTGCTTATGATTACATGTAAACCATTAGGTTGTTCAGTATTTCGTAAAGAAATCTGCAAAAAGTTCATTTTTGAAGAAAGATGCCTTGGTTAGTCAAATTGGTTCAAACCATGGAGGTGGCCATTTTGGTTCAAAAACATCTAATTCATCCTCCAATCATGTATAAACACCAAACCCAAAGAAATCATTATCAAATTGCTTTCTTATCTCTCTTCCAGTATCGTATGGTGCCTGGTTGGTAAAAAGCAATCACAAGAATCTAAAGTTATTTGCTTATGATTACATGTAAACCATTAGGTTGTTCAGTATTTCGTAACGAAATCTGCAAAAAGTTCATTTTTGAAGAAAGATGCCTTGGTTAGTCAAATTGGTTCAAATCATGGAGGTGACCATTTTGGTTCAAAAACATCTAATTCATCCTCCAATCATGTATAAACACCAAACCCAAAGAAATCATTATTAAATTGCTTTCTTATCTCTCGTCCAGTACCGTATGGTGCCTGGTTGGTAAAAAGCAATCACAAGGACTCTAAAGTTATTTGCTTATGATTACATGTAAACCATTAGGTTGTTCAGTATTTCGTAAAGAAATCTGTGAAAAAGTTCATTTTTGAAGAAAGATGCCTTGGTTAGTCAAATTGGTTCAAACCATGGAGGTGGCCATTTTGTTTCAAAAATATCTAATTCATCCTCCAATCATGTATAAACACCAAACCCAATCAAATTGCTTTCTTATCTCTCGTCCAGTACCGTATGGTGCATGGTTGGTAAAAAGCAATCACAAGAACTCTAAAGTTATTTGCTTATGATTACATGTAAACCATTAGGTTGTTCAGTATTTCGTAAAGAAATCTGTAAAAAGTTCATTTTTGAAGAAAGATGCCTTGGTTAGTCAAACTGGTTCAAACCATGGAGGTGGCCATTTTGGTTCAAAAACATCTAATTCATCCTCCAATCATGTATAAACACCAAACCCAAAGAAATCATTATCAAATTGCTTTCTTATCTCTCGTCCAGTACCGTATGGTGCATGGTTGGTAAAAAGCAATCACAAGAACTCTAAAGTTATTTGCTTATGATTACATGTAAACCATTAGGTTGTTCAGTATTTCGTAAAGAAATCTGCAAAAAGTTCATTTTTGAAGAAAGATGCCTTGGTTAGTCAAACTGGTTCAAACCATGGAGGTGACCATTTTGGTTCAAAAACATCTAATTCATCCTCCAATCATGTATAAACACCAAACCCAAAGAAATCATTATCAAATTGCTTTCTTATCTCTTTTCCAGTACCGTATGGCGCATGGTTGGTAAAAAGCAATCATAAGAACTCTAAAGTTATTTGCTTATGATTACATGTAAACCATTAGGTTGTTCAGTATTTCGTAAAGAAATCTGTGAAAAGTTCATTTTTGAAGAAAGATGCCTTGGTTAGTCAAACTGGTTCAAACCATGGAGGTGACCATTTTGGTTCAAAAACATCTAATTCATCCTCCAATCATGTATAAACACCAAACCCAAAGAAATCATTATTAAATTGCTTTCTTATCTCTCGTCCAGTACCGTATGGTGCCTCGTTGGTAAAAAGCAATCACAAGGACTCTAAAGTTATTTGCTTATGATTACATGTAAACCATTAGGTTGTTCAGTATTTCGTAACGAAATCTGCAAAAAGTTCATTTTTGAAGACAGATGCCTGGGTTAGTCAAATTGGTTCAAATCATGGAGGTGACAATTTCGGTTCAAAAATATCGAACTTATCCGGCAATCATGTGTAAACACCAAACCCAAAGAAATCAGGATAAAACCAAAGCGTACCGCGTTAGGACCCAACTTGGACAAAACGTACCGCGTTTCGCCGTGGTCCAATCAGAACGGCCAATTTTTGCCGTATGGTTAATACGTGGTACGTTCTGCCTAAATGCGTACGGTACCTAATTGGTAAAATCAATCATAAACAATTTACCAAATTCTCTTTTTAGACAGCGCTGTAATATCTTTGGTTCTTTTCCCGATGAGCTTGGTATAGAAATAACGATTTTGACATCTTTTGATTAAAATACAAGTGGTCATCGAAAGTGTACCAAATTCCCTTATTGGGCACCGTGGTAGGTGTGTTCCAGCTTATAGTTACGATACCCTTAGAATCCATTATGACCCTCTTATTAATTTAATGCGCTTACTAAAATATACTAAACGTTATTTTACATTTCTCCTCAATCCACCAGTTTAATCTCTTTAATACAAATCCGCCCTTGTAACGTAACGTGGATTAGGAATAATACATACGAGGTAGCAGATAACAAATTATTTACGTTATAGCGCACATAGTACAGCTACCTCTTTCATTATTTGCTATCGCACTTTAAAGCGAGAGTACCGCTTTACAATGTTGCCGTTTATTTGGATCTCACTTTATTTAAAATATAACGTATTATATATAACGTAAGCAGCGCCCCCTAAGATGGTCACTCAAGAACTTCGCGTGTATAAATTTTGACAAAAACCTAAAAGTTGAGATCCGGGCGAAAATTGAAATTTAGCTTCCTGTATGATCGACCGAGCTAATAGACTCGATATACACAGTAAAAAAGGCGAGATCCGAAAACGGATCTCGGGTTTACCAAATGGATCTCACCTTATCTGCAATATATGTAAAAATGATCTCACCTTAGCGCTTTTTAAATCTATATATATATATATATATATATATATATATATATTATATATATATATATACATCCCGCTATCATTATTGCGTCCGTACGTATTTGTACTTTATTGCGTCTCCTAGAACGGATAGGAATTCTTAAACTATTGCCGCGAATGTTGGTTTGGAATCGTATGTCGTGGCTAGAATCCTAACCAGATTTCAAAAATTCCCAGTATTTCGATATACGAATTTT